GTGAACGTTATTTTATTCATAAGGTTAGTTATTAGAGTTACCAGCCATCCCATATTCAGAGTAAATATTACACGTTTCGTATTGAGCCGAAAACGAACGCGATTGTCCCGTACTTCAGCTAGAATGAAACAAAGCTGGAGTTATTCTGCGTCTTTACGCTGTCAGCTGCTTCGTCTTCTCTCATTCTCTCCCCCTCCTTCTCCTGTTGCTACTTCAATCATGATCAATGATCAGCTGATCAGCTTTTCTCTCTTGTTTATCACTCACTTTGCGCCAGAAAGAGGAAACCAGCGGAGGTCACCCTAAACAACAGCAACACTTTTAAGCTTGATCAGCTGTTGTTAGAATTTATTTAATATTAATTATTAGTATCACCTGATGTTTGCTGGAGCCACAGCTGTAAAAGCTGCTGGTCATGATGTCGGTTTGGATATGTGGTGAGAGGGAAACATGAAGATGAAACCAGGAGATGTCCTTACTGAATCATCAGAGTTGAACAGGTGATGAAGAAGCAGGTTTACCTTTTAGGTGACATGAGTTGAAGGGAAGTTATGAACTGTTTCTGAGAGACAAATAACACCAGGATCTTTTCCAAGTAGCTGAGAGCTGGTAACTGTCACAATGGTCTCGATTGCAGATAACCACAAACAGAGACGGCTCAAACGTTTTGCAGTGTTTATTATTTAGTCAACAAGTGAATTCGTGACAAGGAGTTGCTAACGAAGTAGCCAGGGGTCAGTGGAGGGTGAACGGGGATTTAGCAGGTTGCGACGAGAACGGAGCATTTGCGTCTGGGGAAAAAAAGAGAACAGGGTTAGGAAGGCGGCAGGTGCGGGGTATCCTAGCAGAGGTGGAACTGACTGATATCGCTTACTGGTGACCGGCATGAACCTCGCTTTGAGGGAGAGGCGGTGGTAGTCCAGGGGAGTAGTGGAAAGGCTGGCAGACCTGAGTTCCGCTGTGTCCAAGGTGGTGAGTGAGGCCGGAGGGCAGGCAGGTGAGGTAGCATAGCATAAGCAGCATGAAAGGTGATAGGAAGACAGCATCTGCAGACCGTTCAAGTTTCTTTTAAGTGTTCTTTATTTTCTGGCGTCGCCTTTCAACAATTATCTCTCAAAAACATCAGAAGCTGTGAGTCAAAATCTCACCTGCTTTATATAGAATTCCACTCACACCTGGATCTCATTAACCTCTACCATTGGGAAAACAGGGTAGACTAAATAACACAGTCTAGACAAAGAAACAGGAATAAAATCATTTTTCCACTTAACAAACTCATTCACCCAACGGAACAGCTTGAAAAATCACTCTTCACCTAATCTGACTCATGAGGTTATTTTAAATGAAATAAACAATTTTACACAAAATAAACACCCCTTCATTTGGTTACACCCAATTGACATGATCAGTGACATCATATCCTATAGAATCAGGAAGTACTGGGGCGGCCCTTCCCACATACCTGTTTTACACATAGGACCTGTCCAAAGGAACGCACAATGGTAAGTATAACCAAACTACATAAACAAATGAAAGATTCAAATCAATTAATGATGAAGTGACATTTAGCTTTAAGTACAATTGCACAGATGACATAAATATAACCAATGCTACCACAAACAGACCTGGGATAGTATGTAGAGCTAAGGTTACATGTGCTGTGTTTACATTAAAGCATTATGATAGACTATAGGATAACAGAACACAGAATAACAATATACGCAAGTGACAAATGGCAAATGAATTCTGTCCTAGCCACTTTGTCACAGAGGGTCCTTGTATTCCTCATGAATATGAAGATCATCCAAGGCGAGCTGGGGTTGAGGGTGATGACAACGAAGGTCCAGGAAATCTGAAGCACATGAAACCAACGTTAACAATGGAAAAAGTGGCAATAGCGTAAAAAGCCGTAGAGTCAATACCAACGTGAGGTCGTTGACAAACTGGCGGTGAAGGAGAGTCTGAGGGGGGCCTTAAATCCTCAACCTGATTGCCCCAAATCAGTCTCAGGTGTGCAGGACTGCAGCAGGGAGATGGCTCCGCCCAGGGGTGGAGACCAAGGAACTCAGGTGCCTGATAGTACTTTCCAGTCGAGTCTCCAGATCCTGACAGTAACTGTGCAGGGGTGGGTCTAGCAAAGTTTTGCAAGGGGGCCAGGTAGGGCATTAACAGGGAAAGGGGGGCACAAACAAATACTTTTCTTTCTTATTCTCCTTTAAAATGTCTAGCTTTTAATAAATAATTATCTGAATCTTACAACCAAAGTTTTT